TTCCGTAGTTGCAAGTCTCACCTTTTGGGTCTCCTCATAATTGTTGCATGAGAAATCATGCTCTATTTTCATCTCCCACTTCAAGTATGCCTCCAGATTACTTTTTCCTTTGAACGGAGGAATGCTAAGTTTGACTCCTTCGCCTACTTGGTCTTGCTACTCCATCATTTCTTCTCCTATTTCTCCTTTCTTCTTCATCTTCTCGATCTCTATTCTCCAACCGGTTCAATATTTTATGGAGCTCATTGTTATGTCGTATCATTAATCCTTCCAAATGTTGTACCAATGCTCTCATTTGAAATGGACTAATTCCTGCTTCTTGATTGTAATTTTCTTCTTTTGCCATTAATTTGATGTTCAAACCCTTAAATCAGGGCTCTGATACCAATTGATGTGAATCACAAGGGGTGATTTAGGATCTTTAGGGTTAGAACCTTGTAAGAAATTTAGGAATTTAGTGATAAAGTGAAAGAAAATAATCACTCTTCCCAAGGAAGGCAACTCACAAAGGATGTGAAAGTCCTTTGATACAGCCAAGGGTTCTTGATAAATCTTTTGATCACTAAAAAATTTAGGAGAATCACTCTCACTAAGATAAAAGAGATAAACTCTAATATTTTTTAATAAAATTTCACTTGTTATTTTTTATAAAAATAGTTCAGCCTATATAGAAATTTTGCCATCAGAATTACAAAGATTCAATAAAGGAAAATAAATGCTAATAATGATTCATTAACCTAGGAATTGAAAACTACTTAATGAAGACAAATAAAGGCTAATAATAATCCATTAACCTAGGAATTGATATTACTTAATGACTGATTGTAGCTGAAATTGTGGCAACCAAAAGTCAATCAGCTATACACCCTCTTGGTCTCCCAAAAACTGATACTAAATTTCTAATTGGGCCCTTATTACAACTTGCAATAAAACCAAACTAAAGTCCATTAATTGATTAATCCAAAACACAATTTGATCAACCAACAAGTACTTGTTGAAGAGCTTTATTTGCTTCCCTTACTCTAGCCCTTGTCATAGGTCTTGTTCACATCACCTATGTCGAAGTGTCACACGCGAGTCAAACACCGACACCGTCACCGTCACGACACGTTGAAAATGCGTGTCCGGCTCCTTTTTGCATTGTCCACAAGACCAAAAATGCGTCACGGAGCTTCAAGTCTTGGTGGACACGGCGTGACTCAGATCCGACACGACTCCGACTCGGCGGTGATGGCAAGGTATAGTTTTTATAAAAAAAAATTAAAATTTAATAAAAAAATGTAATTTTTTCCGCTTTATATTCTTTTTTCTCCCACTTTCCTTCCTTCCTCTGCACGTTTCCATTTCTGCTCCAAAGGCTTTCCTTTTGCCATTGTAAAGATTTTTCCTTTTCTCCTTCTTTGTTTGCTTCACTTACTTTCTTCTGTTGCGTGCTGCTGTGTTTTCTTCTGTTGCATGTTGTTGTGTTTTCTTTCATTGCATCGTACTCTGTTTTCTTCAGCTGCATCCTGCTGTGTTTTCTTCCATTGTATCATGCTCTATTTTCTTTTGTTGCGTCGTGCTCTATTTTCTTTCGCTGCTTCATGGTATATTGGTCTGTTTTCTTTCGTTGTGTCGTGCTTTGTTTTTTTCCACTGTTCATTGAAGCTTTGCTGTTCATTTTGCTTTGTTTTGCTCTCTGCCGTTTAAGTCTTCATTGTTGTTCAGGTATTCCACTGCGTCATGCTCTATTTTGTTGTCCACTGTTTAGGTATTCATTTTGCTCTATTTTCCTTTATAATGTTTCATTTTTTTATTAGAATGTGATAGTTATGGAATTATGAACATAGAAAAATCATATCTTATTGGTTCATTTTTGTAGAAATGAGTAATTCTAGTCAGCCTTTACAAGATGATGATATCAAACCCCTATGGAATTATGTTACAAAGATAAAAAGTGTTGGTGGAGGTGGTGGAAATTATGAAGTAAAATGCAATATTTGTGACCTTACTTTCAATGGATCTTATACTAGAGTGAGAACACATTTGTTGAAGATTACGGGAAAGGGAGTTAGAGGTTGTCAAAAAATAACACCCTTGAAGCTTGGTGAACTAACAAAACTAGACAATGAAGCTACATTGAAGATAAAAAGTTCTAAGGCAAAATTTGTCCCTTTGCCTCCGGTTTCTAATGAATCATCCATGGACAACAATGATGGTGTTGATCTCAAAAAAAAGAAAACATCCGGACAACTAGATAAAACTTTCAATATGCAAGCTAGAGAGACATTAGACTATGAAATTGCTAGGATGTTTTACTCATTGCGATTGTCATTTCATTTAGCAAGAAATCCTTATTATAGGAGAGCTTTTTCTTTTGCTGCCAATAATTATGTAAGTGGATATCAACCACTAAGTTATAATAAGTTGAGAACAAGTTTGCTTGCTAATGAAAGAAGACATGTAGAGAAGCTTTGGAGCTGATAAAAAATACATGGAGTCAAAAAAGTATTAGCATTGTTAGTGATGGGTGGAGTGATCCCCAAAGAAGACCTCTCATTAATTTCATGGTTGTTACAGAGAGTGGACCTATGTTTTTTAAGGCTATAGAATGCTCTGATGAGATTAAAGATAGATTTTATAGCCAAACAAATGAGAAATGTAATTATGGAAGTTGGACCTTCAAATGTGGTGCAAATTGTGACTGATAATGCACCTGTATGTAAGGTCGCAGGTTTAATGACTGAAGTTGATTTTCCTTGTATTTATTGGACCTCTTGCGTTGTACATACTCTAAATCTTGTTTTGAAAAATATATGTGTAGTAAAGAACACAGAAAAAAAAACAATATTGCTTATCAAGAATGTTCTTGGATCACAAATGTAGGAGAAGATGCTATGTTAAAAAAAAATTTATCATGGGTCACTCAATGAGGTTATCTATTTTCAACTCATTAAAGTTGTTTTCCGTTGCTCCAACAAGATTTGCTTCTACTATAGTCATGCTTAAGAGATTTAAGCATTTGAAAAAAGGACTCCAAGAGATGGTTATTAGTGATGAATGGTCTTCGTACAAGGAAGATGATGTTGGAAAAGCTAAATTTGTGAAAGATACATTATTGGATGATGTTTGGTGGAATAAGGTTGATTATATACTTTCTTTCACTAGTCCAATTTATGATGTTCTAAGAAAAAGGGATACGGAAACTTCATCTCTCCATTTAGTATATGAAATGTGAAACTCAATTATTGAAAATGTGAGAAAGGTCATTTATTGATATGAAAGAAAGGCGGAAAGTGAAGAATCAAGTTTTTATAATGTTGTGCACTTCATATTAATTGAACGTTGGACAAAGAGTAGCACACATCTCCATTGTTTAGCACATTCTTTAAATCCAAGGTAATATTTTATATTCCTAAATAAGATTTTAGTTACATTTTTATAAGTTATTATAATCATTATTTTTATTTATATTATAGATATTATAGTTATGAATGGCTAAGTGAAGATTCTAATAGAGTTCTTCCACATCAAGAAATGGAACTTATTCGTAAAAGGGTGAAATGCTTTACACAATATTTTGTTGAAGTGAATGTGAGGTGACAAATAAATGTAGAGTTTGCAAATTTTTCCGATGGAAGAGAATGTTTTGATGACATTGATTCATTAAGTGATAGGGGTAAGATGAATGCAAAATCTTGGTGGCTTGTTCATGGTGCTCATGCTCCAATACTTCAAAAAATTGCTCTTAAACTACTTGGACAACATGCTCTTCTTCATATTGTGAAAGAAATTGGAGCACTTACTCTTTCATTCATTCTATGAAAAGAAACAAAATGGCAACATATAGGGACGGAAGATATAGTATTTGATCATAACAACCTCCTTCTTCTTTTAAGTAATTCTCCACAATATAACTAAGAGGAAACAAAGATGTGAGACATAGAAAGAGATGCATTTGGATCACTAGATGAGAATGAAATGCATGAAATTGTTAATTTATCATTTGATGAACCAGGGCTAAAGTATATGATGATGGTTACTATCTTTAATAGATTTTTATTTCATCTTCTTATTTTGATACTTTTTTTTGTAAAAAGAAAGTGTTTCTTATTATTTTTTGATTAGGATATTATATCAAAATTGTAAAGTAACAACTTTGTGCGGATTAGGATATTATATCAAAATTGTAAAATAATAACTTTGTGTGGTGGAGAAAATGAATGAATAAATCTTACTTTTTAATTTATATTTTTCTCATTTGAATTATATTTAAATTTTGATTAATGTCTAATATATATATATATATATATAAAAGATGTCTCACGTCCCAATGTCATGGCAGAGTCGGTGCTTCTTAGCTGAATAATCAGCGAAACTAGACAATATTTAGGATAAATTATGTGTTGGTTTCCTGAATTGACTAACAATGCTAGATTGTATCTAATAGAAATGCAAGTTAAAGTTATTCTCCCAAAAGTCTTTAGCTGCTTGCAACATGGTGTTTGACATTTGTAGCTATTCATTTGCTTTCTACCAAAAGTTATTTTTGATAGAACCATAGTAATAATATATTAAAGTAATCACTACCGTGAATATTATTTGTAAGACATTAAAAATTAGTCACTAACAATATATCAATGATAAAATATGCATAATCATAATTAAACTTTCTGTCACTAAAAATTATACTACATGAAAATCAACAAGCTGAGTTCTTGATAAAAAAAACAGAAAGTTTGGCCACCATACACATGACGGGGCTTTTCGGTTCAAGAACTGTCATCTTTTACATAATAAAAAATTCAAAATAATGAGTTTTTACACAATGACATGATACATTCATGCTTAGAAATCACCTTAGATTTATAAGTTGAAAAGAGAATTATGAAAAGATAATGAATCAAGAAGATAAGATGAAATGGTGACGAGAAAGGGAACTCTTTCATTGAAAGTAGTGGATAGTACATGCATCATCATATAAGATGTTATTTAACGCAGAAGATGCATACATATAATTTTCACATGGTAATTGTTCTCGGCAGAGCCAAGAAACCTTTCAGTGCTTCAGAGTTGGAGTCGAAGCACCACCCATAATCCACGTACTGATTTGGATAGCGAGCGCAGAAGTTGCCACTTCCTTTCTTCACACAGTCATTGTCAGACATACACAGGTTCGGATGTTCATCCAGCTTCTTCACGAAGGAGGCAACTCCACTAGGATGTGTGCAGTAACCAACGAACAGTCCAACAGGAATACAACGACAGTCGGTGGAGCCACACGGTGGCATTTGAAACGGCGAACAACCACCTGAACAACCCACTGCTTCTATGTTCTTCATCGACAACATTGCTGAAAAAAACATGCATATGGAAAGTTAATTAGAACAAATATCATCGTATATTCTGGAAATCAGGAACATAAAATGGAGGAAAAGTACATACAAGAAGTGGCAAGCAGGAAGAGAGCCAAAGGAGCAAGCTTGAGAAATGCCATTGTTTGGTGTGATTCTTTGTTCGTTTCACGTAGTAATTTATAGGCACATTTTACTGCATGTTGTTACTTCAATTACAGATAAGATATCATTTTTTTATTCTTTAATTTTATTGGAGAAGCTACAATAAAATATTCCTCTCGTACCATTTATTTACCACGCTCCAAAGCTTTTGCCTGTGATAGTCTTCAAGGGTACAACAATCCCATGTGGAAGGTACAATTGAAATAACTTAAGCATCTTTATAAAAGATTTAGCACAGTTCATTTTTTGACAGGTATAGTGAAAAAGGAAAGAAAAGTCATGATAGTTTCTGATATATGTTCTGCAATTTTGGAATAGTAAGCCCGTGACTTCAACCTTCAGGAATCACCCTCCTCCTTGGGCTACTCAACTTACCCACTTTCCTCTCTCTTTTTTTTCTCTGAGCTAACCAAAGCTGCACAAGGAAAAAGTCCATAACTTGTGAGTGGTTTCACATCGACATGATTAATGGCCAGAAAAAACAAAAACCCTCAGACATCCATTTTTATAGCGATTATTATATGTAGTGAACTAATAATATATATATATATATATAATTTATGTAATATATATATATATATAATTTATATAATATATATAATTTATTTAACATTAAAAATAATTATATTTTTATTAATTTTATAATTATAATTTTATTAAGGTTATAATTTTAAATATAATTTTTTTAACTTGATATTTATAATTTATATAATATATATATATAATTTAAAAATAATTTTTTTTAATTTTAAGTTGATATATTTTTTTATTTATAATTATTTAATATATATTTGAAAATCTAATTGATTATTTAAAAATGAATCAATTATTTAAAAAAATAACTGATTCACATCAAGTATGAAAAAATCAAGTATGAAAAAACTAATTGATTACTTTTTGAAATAATCGATCAGTTTTTTAAATAGTTTAAAATATATATATATATATATATATATATATAATTTAAAAGTAACATATATGATAGCGGTTAGCATTGAACAGCTTCTTAAAAGTGACATATATGATAGCGGTCCCAAGTTAACAGCTATCTAAAAGAACTGGTTCTCAAATTCTGATCGATTACTTTTTGAAGTAATCGATTAGTTTTCGAATAGTTAAAAACTATAATTTTATTTATGTAAATTTTATATATAAAATTAATTTAGAGTTCATATATGTAATTTTAATTTATGTAATATATATATATATATATATATATATATATATATATATATATATATATATATATATATATATATATATATATATATAATTTACATATATATATATATATACATATATATATATATATATATAATTTATGTAATATATATATATATATATATATATATATATATTTATATATATATAAAATTTTAAATTATATATATATTATATAAATTATAAATATCAAGTTAAAAAAATTATATTTAAAATTATAACCTTAATAAAATTATAATTATAAAATTAATAAAAATATAATTATTTTTAATGTTAAATAAATTATATATATTATATAAATTATATATATATATATATATATATATATATTACATAAATTAAAATTACATATATGAACTCTAAATTAATTCTATATATAAAATTTACATAAATAAAATTATAGTTTTTAACTATTCAGAAAATTAATCGATTATTTCAAAAAGTAATCGATCGAATTTGAGAACAGTTCTTTTAGATAGCGGTTAACATGAGACCGCTATCATGTATGTCACTTTTAAGTATATATATATATATATATATATATATATATATATATATATATTTATAAACTATTTAGAAAACTAATCGATTATTTCAAAAAATAATTGATTAGTTTTTTCATACTTGATTTTTTCATACTTGATGAGAATCAGTTATTTTTTTAAATAATTGATTCATTTTTAAATAATCAATTAGATTTTCAAATATATATTAAATAATTATAAATAAAAAAATATATCAACTTAAAATTAATAAAATAATTATTTTTAAATTATATATATATATATTATATCAATTATAAATATCAAGTTAAAAAAATTATATTTAAAATTATAACCTTAAAAAAATTATAATTATAAAATTAATAAAAATATAATTATTTTTAATGTTAAATCAATTATATATATTATATAAATTATATATATATATATATATATATATATATATTACATAAATTAAAATTACATATATGAACTCTAAATTAATTTTATATATAAAATTTACATAAATAAAAATAAAAATTATCAACTTAAAAATAAATTATATTTTAATATATATATATATATATATATATATAATGAATAATATATATATATATATATTTTTTAACTATTTAAAAAACTAATCGATTATTTCAAAAAGTTATCGATTAGTTTTTTCATAATTGATTTTTTCATACTTGATGAGAATCAGTTATTTTTTAAATAATTGATTAATTTTTAAATAATCAATTAGATTTTCAAATATATATTAAATAATTATAAATAAAAAAATATATGACCTTAAAATAAAAAAATATTATTTTTAAATTATATATATATATTATATAAATTATAAATATCAAGTTAAAAAATCATATTTAATATTATAACCTTAATAAAATTATAATTATAAAATTAATAAAAATATAATTATTTTTAATGTTAAATAAATTATATATATTATATAAATTATATCTATATATTACATAAATTATATATATATATATATATATATATATATATTACATAAATTAAAATTACATATATGAACTCTAAATTAATTTTATATATAAAATTTACATAAATAAAATTATAGTTTTTAACTATTCAGAAAACTAATCGATTACTTCAAAAAGTAATCGATCAGAATTGAGAACCGAGTTCTTTTAGATAGCGGTTAACGTGAGACCGCTATCATATATGTCACTTTTAAGAGCGGTTCCACGTTAACCGCTATCATATATGTTACTTTTAAATTATATATATATATATATATATATATATATATATATATATATTTTAAACTATTTAAAAAAGCTGATTGATTATTTCAAAAAGTAATCAATTAGTTTTTTCATACTTGATTTTTTCATACTTGATGAGAATCAGTTATTTTTTTAAATAATTGATTAATTTTTAAATAATCAATTAGATTTTCAAATATATATTAAATAATTATAAATAAAAAAATATATCAACTTAAAATTAAAAAAAATTATTTTTAAATTATATATATATATATATATATTATATAAATTATAAATATCAAGTTAAAAAAATTATATTTAAAATTATAACCTTAATAAAATTATAATTATAAAATTAATAAAAATATATTTATTTTTAATGTTAAATAAATTATATATATTATATAAATTATATATATATATATATATTACATAAATTAAAATTACATATATGAACTCTAAATTAATTTTATATATAAAATTTACATAAATAAAATTATAGTTTTTAACTATTCGGAAAACTAATCGATTACTTCAAAAGTAATCGATCAGAATTTGAGAACCAGTTCTTTTAGATAGCGGTTAACGTGGGACCGCTATCATATATGTCACTTTTAAGAGCGGTTCCACGTTAACCGCTATCATATATGTCACTTTTAAGATATATATATATATATATATATATATATATATATATATATATATATATATATATATATATATATTTTAAACTATTTAGAAAACTAATCGATTATTTCAAAAAATAATTAATTTGTTTTTTCATACTTGATTTTTTCATACTTGATGTTAATCAGTTATTTTTTAAATAATTGATTAATTTTTAAATAATCAATTAGATTTTCAAATATATATTAAATAATTATAAATAAAAAAATATATCAACTTAAAATGAAAAAAAATTATTTTTAAATTATATATATATATATATATATATTATATAAATTATAAATATTAAGTTAAAAAAATTATATTTAAAATTATAACCTTAATAAAATTATAATTATAAAATTAATAAAAATATAATTATTTTTAATGTTAAATAAATTATATATATTATATAAATTATATATATATTATATTACATAAATTATATATATATATATATATATATATTACATAAATTAAAATTACATATATGAACTCTAAATTAATTTTATATATAAAATTTACATAAATAAAATTATAGTTTTTAACTATTCAGGAAACTAATCGATTACTTCAAAAAGTAATCGATCGAATTGAGAACGAGTTCTTTTAGATAGCGGTTAACGTGGGACCGCTATCATATATGTCACTTTTAAGAGCGGTTCCACGTTAACCGCTATCATATATGTTACTTTTAAATTATATATATATATATATATATATATATATATATATTTTAAACTATTTAGAAAACTAATCGATTATTTCAAAAAGTAATTGATTAGTTTTTTCATACTTGATTTTTTCATACTTGATGTGAATCAGTTATTTTTTTAAATAATTGATTAATTTTTAAATAATCAATTAGTTTTTCAAATATATATTAAATAATTATAAATAAAAAAATATATCAACTTAAAATTAATAAAATAATTATTTTTAAATTATATATATATATATATATATATATATATATTATATAAATTATAAATATCAAGTTAAAAAAATTATATTTAAAATTATAACCTTAAAAAAATTATAATTATAAAATTAATAAAAATATAATTATTTTTAATGTTAAATAAATTATATATATTATATAAATTATATATATATATATATTACATAAATTAAAATTACATATATGAACTCTAAATTAATTTTATATATAAAATTTACATAAATAAAAATAAAAATTATCAACTTAAAGATAAATTATATTTTAATATATATATATATATATATATATATATATATATATATATTATTCTCTAAAGTATAACTTCTTCTTATATACATATAATTTTTAAGATTTTTATTATCCTCCTAATTTATTATTAATTTCTAAAAAAATTATAATAT